GAGAAGGATAGAGATAGAGATATAGATGATAGCAATAGAGATAGGGATAGAGACAGAGAAATAGGGTAAGGCAGAGAGAGAGAAAAGGAGATAGAGAGAGAGAAGGATAGGGATAAGGATAGAGACAGAGATAAGGATAGAGACAGAGAATAGGAAGAGAGAGAGAAGGAGAAAATCAGAGAGAGAGAGAGAGAGAGATCAGGATAGGGATAGAGATACAGATGATAATGGTGAGATAGGGATCAAGATGAAGAAATAGGGAGAGAGAGACAGAGAAAGAGAGAAAGATAAGGATAGGGATAAAAATAGAGATGATAGAGACAGAGACAGGTACAGAGAGAAAGAGGCAGGCATATACTTACATTTGCATAAAACATTTCTAAAAGAAAATATAAGAAACTGGTAACTCTTATTTCTGGCAGAGAGACTAAGAACTGGGGTTGTGGGAGTTAGGAAATTTTCGTTTTCATTTCATATCCTTTCCAAGGCTTGACTCTTTAAACTACAAGTCTAATAGCCTTAATAATAAAAACGATAATAATAATTGCTAGTTAAAAAAGAAAAGAATGCGCTGAGCAAGTGTTCCCTATACCTTAGCTACTTAAATGGTTTAAAAATCAGAGGCGGTACATAAAGGGTTAAATATAGGCGGCCATCACCAACCAATATATTATCTTCCTAAAAGTATTAATGAAATACAGACACAGTTAACAACCCAGTGGAAAGCAGCAGAGGTCAAAGAACCCAGCTCCTTAAACAGCTCTTTTCCGCATCAGTAGAGCCCAGAGCTCGGAGAACTAGCTCAGGCACCCACATCTTTTCTTCCACCAAGGCTCAGAGCTAGTGGAAAAGTGGTGGGAAACTTTTAAAACAGACTGCAGAGGTGTTAAAAATAGAAGCTAAGTTGCTATTGGAGATACATCGAGAATTCACCACTTGCAAATCTCTAATTATAATATGTCAAGAGTAAAATACCTTGTCAGGAACAGTATCTAATATAATACAGTATTGGCACTGTCAGCACAGTGATCTATGATGTGTTTGGAGGCCTACATTAAATAGAAATTCAGCAGAAAAAATGTCCTGCAGGGACTCATCTCAGCCCGTGGGGAACTGAAAGGATGACCTGGTAAGTCTTTTCTGTCTGCGTTTTACTTAGCTCTGGTTGGGAGCTCTGGGTGCATCCTGCTTCCCTTTTACAGATTCTGCACTTTGTGTTAAATCATGTGCATATATTAGATGTTCTTGGATCCCACCAGATGGATGGATGTTTTCTCTTTCCCAAAAGTACCTAGTTTCTCAAGGAAATAATGGCCTCTGCAATGCCCTTAGGATGACATTAATGGAGATTATATATATACATATATATATAATGGAGATTATATATATATATATATATATATACACATATATAACATAATATGTATACACATATATATGTGTGTGTGTGTGAGTGTGTATATATATATATATATATTTCAAAGGACAATCAGTTACTCCAAGCACAACAATATCCAGGTATCCATGAACCTGCAATCATTAGTCAAACTCCCAGTTTGAATACTCCATTGATGTCTCATTCAAATACTCTTCCTCCAAACCTGACCCCTATGAGTTCTCATTGTTCTGCTCTTGCCCCTCTCTTCATTCCCTGCACTTGACAAAGATGCCCATGCAAGCCTTACCCTACTAATGGCTCAGCATACTATCTTCAGGTGGAACTAGTTTCTGTCTACACAGTCCCTTTAGTGAGCTGTTCTGAAAGCATCTTATCATGGATTCTAGTAAAACAATCCTCATCCTGTTTACTTGGGTATGAAGCTTCTCGATGGACCCAGGGCTGAGGCACCCAATCTCAGCCTCAGTCACTGAATGAAGATAACACCACACAAGCCAGGGAGAGAAAATGCTTCCCATGAGAAGGCTTGCATGGCACCAATTCAAGAGCCTTTTATGGGGCTGCTGGCATAGTGACTAGATCCTGAACTTACAGGGTCAGAAACACAGAACAGAGGTGAACACACAGAAGCAAAGCCAGGATGAATCCCACTGGAATCTGAAAGATGTGTCTCAAGAACCAAGCTGGGTCTAAGTCAACTCTCTTCCTGGTCTTTGTTGTCTGAGCCGACACATCTTGTGCTGAAGATTCTGAAATGTACACATCCTCAATAATTCTGAGGCAGATCCCTTAGAAAGTATTTTTTCCTACCATTATCAGGATACATAAAAGCCGTGAAAACCTATGCTCTGGAATTTGGCACATGATTATAATCAACAGAACGCATATCTTATATTCTCTCATGAACCTAAGGCTCTCCAAGAGTAGAGTGTTGTCTGCCCATCATTTTATCTCTCTGCAGTGCCTGGGCACTGTGGACACCCAACATGCTACTTAAATTTAATTGTGTTGATCTCTAAAGTGTTCTTTTTGCAGGAAAAGAATGCTGAGCATCTCCACTCCCCAATTGGATTGAGTTCCTTTAAGATAGGCATCATTAACTCTTTATTTTTAAATCTCATTTACAACTCTTCTGGCTTAAACTCTTTTCAATGGCTTCCCGTTGCTCCTAACGTGGAATTCCAACTCCTTATCGGACCCACCAGGCTGCCAGGATATATAATCCATGTTAATTGTTCTCTGTTTATCTTTGGACACAATATGCCAGCACCTACTTCACCAATGCCCTAAACAGACTGGCCTGTTCTTAGGACTTAAGACAAGCTGAGATATTCTCAACTTTAGAACTTTTGACTTTGGTTGTCTGTGACACTTTGTCTTCTCACCTTAAATATCATCTCTGTAGAGATGTTTCCAGACTATGCATTTGCAGTTAACACCTCAGTTCTTTTTAAGTCTTCCTGCTGTACTCATATTTTTCTTAAGTATATCTATCATACTTTGTGGTTATACATGAGGCGCTCAATCTCAGCTCATACTAAGTAACAGAAGGGAAAGAGAAAGATCATGTTGTCTGGTTTGACTGTGTCATCTAGTATGAGTCTTGGCCCCAGTAGATGTTTAATAAGTAGTTATGAATAAATACATGCATCTTTCATAGAAGTTAACTTAATAAATAATATCTGATTGGACTTTTTTTGTTTGTTTGTTTGAAAACATCATACCCAGGCACTAACACCTTTAATTATCACAAAATAACCAACAAAAAGTAAACAATAATCCTATCACCATCACCTGGTAGTCAACACAAAAACAATACACACCTGCAAAACCAGCAAATCCATTTACTAGACTTATGCCTGGGGTATGGCAGCCAAATACAAAAGGTCAGTAACAGCACTGTTCACAAGAGTCAAAATGCCCATCAATGGATGAATGGATAAATAAAATGTGTATATCCCTATGATAAAATATTCAGCATGAATGAACCTTGACAATGTTATGCTAAGAGAAAGAAATCAGAAACAAAAGGTCATATAGAAAGTAGATTGGTGGTTACCAGAGGCTGGGGGGAGGTGGAATGGGTATTAGGGTGGTGAAAACATTCTGAAACTAGATAATGGTGGTAGTTGCACTACATTATGAGTATACTAAGTGCTGCTGAATTGTGTATATTAAAATGGTAAGTTTTCTGTTATATGTATTTCACCACAATAAACAAAAAAGGCAATAAAAACATTTCAGAGCATACACTATTTGTTAAATGAGTGGGTACAAAGCTAGCCTCCAAATGAACAAGTTGCTAAAGTCGATCAACAGTTCCTTTTATTATAGGAAACATATCATGCTTCAAACCCACAAATGTCTTCACAAGCAGTGGTTTTCCAAAGGCTTGAGGACATGGAGAGAGGGCAGAATCGCCTTGCACCTAAAAAATTAAATGAGTGGGTACAAAGCTAGCCTCCAAATGAACAAGTTGCTAAAGTCAATCAACAGTTCCTTTTATTATAGGAAACATATCATGCTTCAAACCCACAAATGTCTTCACAAGCAGTGGTTTTCCAAAGGCTTGAGGACATGGAGAGAGGGCAGAATCACCTTGCACCTAAAAAATTAAATGGTCTAGACAAGAAGTCTAGAAGCTTTAGAGAAATTCCACAAGTCAAGGTTTCCCAAATGTATGGTCCAGATAGGTCTTGGGTATGAATGATTATTTTGGGTGGTATACAAGTGAACATTGTTTAATTTTAATATCATTATTTTTGTTTAGACTTATTTTTGGTTAATGGCCAACAATACCAGTTTTCACATATAGTGATGATAAAATATTTCTGTTTGCTTGATTTTTTAACCATTGTAATCAATTTACATGCAATCAAATCACTGTTTTTGGTGTATAAAGTTGTGTAACCATCACCATTAAGATCTAGAACAGTTTCCTTATCCACACAAATTCTCTTGTGTTGATTCTTTGTAATTTTACACTTCTCTATTCTTTAATCCAACAATAAAAAGGAAGAAACTAGCAACAAACATAGCAACATGGATGAATCTCAGATGTGTTAGGCTGAGTTAAATTAGGATCCTCACTCAGAGACTTGGGTAGAAATGGGAAGTAGCTGCAAACGGGCACAAGATTTGTTTTTAGGGTGATGAAAATGTTCCAAAATGAGATGTCAGTGATGCTCACACCGCTCTGTAAATATATTAATAATCAGTGAATTGTACACCTGAAATAGGAGAATGTTATGGTATATAAATTATAACTCCATAAGGACAATTAACAACAACAAAAAGATTCCATTGGGATGGCGTTCTGGAAAACTGTAGGAACAGAAAATCGATGAATGCTTCTCTTTACAAATATTAATTTAAAAAGTGTCCACTTAAATAAATTCTAGGAAAGAATGCATATGGATGAAGTAAACTGGGAAGTTGGTATGACAAGGACTGGTTAGGGACAGATTTTTTCACCAGGGTCCCCAGGTGGATGGGGGTGCACCCCCGCTGTCATCCCCAGGGCTGGGGCACTAGTGCACTTTGGAAAGCCCTTGTCCTGGCCTGAATATCCTCCCGTCCCTAGAGGAAAGCATCCACTTACTGTGGCGGTGCCAGAGACGGTCTGAGCGTTGGTGTCCGGAGGGCTCTGCTCGGAGTGCGACTGGGCGGGAGGGTACAGGTTTAACGTGTGCTCGGGGACGGTGGTCTGGCCTGTGTACTCTGGCGCGGGGTGGGGATGAGGAGCTGTGTATTCCGCGGGGATGCCGTTCTGCGGGGGAGCAAATTGGGCCGAGGCGTAAGGCTGGGCCATTGTGTCAGGGGCAGCAGCTGCTTCCTGATTACCCTGAAAAATAATAAAGGTGGAGAGAAAGAGAGAACGCCATGAGTGGGTACTATGCAAAATCTGGCCCCAGGCCCCAGGCCCCAGGCCCCAGGACTACAGTTCCCTGTATCCTTTCTTATTTCTTTCTTCTTTTTTTTTTAAAGCCAGGATCTGGCTCTGTGCTGCCTAGGTTAAAGTGCAGTGGCCTTGACCCCCTGAGCTCAAGGGTTCCTCTCACCTCAGCCTACCAAGTAGCTGGGACTACAGGCACGTACCACCACGCCTGCCTACTTTTTCAATTGTTTTGTAGAGGCAAGGTCTTACTCTCTTGCCCAGGTTGGTCTTAAAACTCCTGTGCTCAAGCAATCCTCCCAGTTTGGCCTCCCAAAGTGCTGGGATTACAGGTGTGAGCCACCATGCCTGGCCTTCTCTGCACCCTATCTAAGTACCACCACAGTGCCACCAGCCTGAGATGGTAATTGTCCCAGAGCATCATCACCAGACTCTATCAGGAAATAATAACCACCACTTATCCCCACTTTACAGATGCAGAAATAGAGGCTCAGAAAGATGATCACTTTTTTTTAGTCAGGGTCTAAAGAGTTGCCCAGTCTACCATTCAGACTGTAATGGCCTATGTCATACCAGATTGGATTTGGGGGGCAGAATCTTTTAATTTCATCCCCATTTTGGAAGCTGTGAGCATATAGCTGTCCACAGTGACAGCAGAACCTTGATTTGATACTTAAAGTGCCAAGAGAGATTAAATTGAAAGTGTGTGTTCTTGAGAGGAGAGACAATTTATCTAAGCATTTGAATTTAATCAAAGTTTTACTCGACGTGGCTCACATAATGGAATGGGGACAGGGTTCTTTTAATGGTCCCAGTGTTGTGTATGTGTGGTTTGTGTGTGTGTATGTGATATCCCTAGTGCCAATATGAAGCTGCCAATGAAAATTCAGGGCCTAATTTGGACAAAGATGGCCCTCTATGATATTCCCATTTAAAATATTTCTGCAGAATATTGAACTTAAATGTTAGCCTCATTAGTTAATACCTCTTGTTCCTAACCCTCTGCTTTTTTTTTTTTTTTTTTAATAAACACAGAGTAGTATATAACAATTGGCTTTTTAGATCCAGGCAAAACATGCAGTATGATAATTATACTCTCAAAATTATACTCTCAACTCAAAAGAATTTTAAAACACACACACAACAAAAACCTGAATTCTAATCCATCTCCATCCCTACAACTCTACCACCCTACATACAACACACACACACACACACACACACACACACACACATACACACACAGAAGGCATAAGAAGTTGTAACCCAAAGGTCCATATTTTCCATGGTCTCGAGAGATAAGATCGCACAGTCAAAAAGAGAGATGGGGGTGGGGGGGAGGATCTTAGCAATTAAGCACACCAAATAGCTGCCTCTCCCATTGTCTGTGGTCAATTAGCTGCGACTTTAGCTCTCCTGTAATGATACCAAGGCACAAATGTCAGAATTGCTCCTGTCTCCTCAGCACCCATCACCAACATTTGAGAGCCTCTTCCTCTAAAGCAATTGAAGCACAGCAAAATCACAGTGAAAAAAAAAGACAAAAAAGTTTGTTCGCAGAGCTATTGCATTTGTTTAGAAGGACCTTAATTAGAAAGTTAAAGATGACACTTGGAAGATAACTAAGCATAGGATAATTTTAAAACATTTTACAAGGAAAATATTCCCATCAGGCTCTCTTCTTCTCCAGACAAATTTCTCCAAATGTCTGTGCTACTGGAAGCAAAAGTGCACAAGTGTTTCTTTCTCTCTTCCTAACATTTTTCCCACAGTGTTGGGTCTGTGAAGGCTCTGCCTGTGCTGAGACTGGGTCCCTATACATGAAATTAACTCTATCCCTTCTTGGGAAAATACAGAGGACATTTATTGTTAATGTTGATTAGTCTCCACCTCTATTTCTTCAGTGACAATACCCCAGTCTCCCTTTGAGGGACAGTCTCACTCTCAGCCCATGTGGTGATGATGCAGCTGAAACCAGCCTCTGGTTATCTCGAGATACAGCTGCTGGATACCAGCCTGGCCAACCAGGTTCCACTGCTGTAGTCACAGGGATCTGGGTTCATGCCCATCTATCTAGTGAGTCAATTAGTATGTTAAGCTGTAGTCACACCAATGAGTCCCAGTTAACCTAAGATTTTACTAAAGTTTTTGGGGAAGAATTTCCGTCTCTACTGACTGGCAGCTGCAAAAATAGCATAAGAATGAGTTGCCAAGAATTGTCACTTAAAGAAGACCTACAGGTGAAGTCAACCCAAAGGAAAATAAAGCCCCAAAAAACTGAGAAACAAAGAGGTATCAACTGAGTCCTAGTAACATCATTTGAAGTCTTGGATCCAACTTACCTGCAGTTAGTAACACCCCTGATTGTTTTAGTTACATGAGTCAGTACCTGTCCTATTTTTAACAGCTTTATTGAGATATCATTAACATAAGCATTATACAAATGTAAGGTGTATAACTTGATGTTTTGACATATGCATACACTGTGAAATGACCACATTCCAAGTAATTAACATATCCATCACTTCTACGTGGTTTCCATTTGTGTGTGTATGTGTGTGTGTGTTGAGAAGATTTAATTTAAGATCTATCTTCTTAGCACATTTTAAGTATACAATACAGTATTTTTAACTCTCATCCCCATTCTGTTTTTAAATCCCCCAGAACTTATCCATCTTGCAAAACTGGGCTTTGGTACCCTTTGTCTTATTTTTCTTAAGTTAGTTTTTCTGTTATAACCAGAAGGATCTTGACTAATTTTTAAAAACTCTTGGACTGTTTTGTAACTCAACTAGCATCATTTCTTTTTCTGGGCCATTTAGGGAATATATCCTTGTGGGGGAAAAAAATCCACAGTGATGCCAATTCTCTATGGCTGATAAAAAAGCCCCAGCAATGTTGGGATCCTGGGAAGTGTCCAAAGACAAATCCATTGTGCTAGAGATGTTTCTGCCCAAAGGTCTGTTTCTGCCTCCCCAACCTTTCACCTGGCCCATCTCTGAACTGAAAGACAGACGTGTGAGTGTAAAAACTCAGGTATGGCCTCATGGGAGAGCACAGAGTGATCCTACAAGCAATGGCAGAGGCAACAGTCACACAAAGACACAGGTGTCCTTCCTCCACCTGCTGCAGAAAATACCTTCACCAGGAACACATATAACTATGCAGTCTTCCATTGGAGCAGCACAATCTCTGGAAGAGTGACCCCTTCCCACAATCTCCTGCAAAAGAGTGAAAGCTCCCTGCTGGGAACTGAGTTTTCTCTGCATTGGGCAGAGAAGGTCCCTGCCCTCAGGAAACTTGATCAGTCAGGGGAGAAGAAGAGCCCATCCTTTCTACACCATCAAGTCTTTGCTGTCCCCCTGTGCTGGGGAAGCCTCCCCTACTCCTGTGCTCAGCTACTACTTACTTCTTTTTTCAGTTTGGATCAAGGACCCTCTCCTCCAGCTAGTCTTCCTTGATTCTCAAACCAAATCAGTTGCCCAACCTCTCTGCTCCACCACAGCTGGTGGTCATGGCTAACATAGCTCCAAGCACTGCTCATTGCCTGTTTGTCTGTGAGCTCCGTGAGGGCAGGATACTGAGCCACATTCTCTGTTCCATCACAATGATCCAGTAGCATGCTAGCTGCAAAGTAGACAATTTACAGGTGTTTGCTAAGTGAACATGAGCTTGAAAAATGAACTCTGGGCATTGTAAAATTTAATACGGCAGCAGGAGATAGGGCCAGGGGAGTAAGAGAGGACTTGGCAAATGACTCATGGGGCAAATCTGACCCACAGCTTGTTTCTTAAATAAAGTTTTATTGGGATGGAGCCATGCTCATTTGCTATTGTCTATACTTGTTTTTGGAGTACAACAGCAGAGTTGAATAGTTGTGACAGACCACCCAGACCACAAAGTCTAAACTATAAATTATCTGTCCCTCTGCAGAAAATGTTTTTTAATGGTTGTGGCAGAATATCATTAGACATGGAGTCACCAGTTAAGAAGTCATCATTGCATAAATAGTTTAGGCAGAAAATAAGGTTGTCAGTGAATCAGAAGGAGAGAGAAAAAGCAGGTGCATTCTACCTAAACCAAGGAGGGATAATCTCAGCTAGTCTTGGAGATTAGCAATGCTGAGGATGGTGTGAATACAGTGATTCAGAATCTTTTCTGGAATTTGCTTTCCATCACCAGATCTTCAACCTGTCAACACACATGCACACACACAGGCTTCAAGTTCAGCTGAAATGGACTTAGAAGAGGAGGTGCATCACAGCCTCAGGCTTCCACACTCTATATGAAAGACAGCCTCTCTCCCTGATGCTAAGAAGACAAGGTAGTCAGTGCCAGGCACTGTGCTGGATACGTTACATCAGTCATTTTTAAGCAGGCATGACTGCTTCCCAGGAAAACATTAGGTGATGACAGGAGAAATTTTTGGTTGTCATGTTGGGGGGGGGGAGACCAGGAGGGCTGCTAAATACCCTACAGTGGATACTCCTGCCCTAAACCATATGTTGATGATGCCAAGGTCTTAAATCCCTACTTTACACATATTGCATCTTTAGTCTCATTGTCAACAGTGCTCTAGTCCAGCACTGGAACATAATGATGCAAGGACAAAGCCACAGGTAGTTCTTAGGGAAGCCAGGTGTTTAACCTAAGCCCATACTTATTGTGTGTCAAGGCATCTCTCAACTAGCAGGAGAATGACCATGTTTGGCTCCCATTTTTTAAATAAACAAACTTTTCTCTATTGCATACACCATGGGTCAGTGCTTTATCTGTTGGTGTGTGACTCCCTGTGGGGAAATCAGGTGCTAGGGCATTTGATTCAACGATGTCAGTAATTCCATTTGCCAGATTAGGTGGGTGACCCTTGGTGAGTGGTGGGGCACCAGCCTGGGAAGCTTCTGCACCATTTTATGCCTCAGGTCTGACTTCAGATGCTTTGAGTCTCTCCTAGGAAAAGCAAGGGTCACAAAGAAAAGCATCACTGGAGCCAGGGCAAACCTCCCACCTTTACCATGATTTGTGCTAGTCTAGCAAACACTGGGCACCATGCTCTAGGGAGTGGGTTTTTGGTAGCCACGGAGGCTGACATCAACATCCGGGTACGTAGGGCTCTGGATTTCATCCTGTACCTGGAGTTCTCAAACAGATGTTGGTGGGACCCCCTACAGTTACTTATGAACACTGACAGCTGTTCCAGAGAGACCTTAATTAATATTCCCAACATTTGCACTTTAGGCTAATTACAGCTAATATTTAATTAAGATCATTGTACTTCCTATGGAATTATTTTTCACCTTCAAATGGCTCCAGAGATGTATTTGTTTCTTCCCTAGCGATGTCCCTGGATTCTTAGCTTGGCTGAAATGTATTTTCTGGAAAAATACATTAACATTAAGGGCACCTTTTCCACTCCAGGTCACAGCAAATCCTGAGCACGTGGAAAGGCTCCGGGTTGAAAGATGAAACTGACTTCATGGAGGGGACAGTGACAGGCACAATTATTTGGAGCATCCCAGCTAGACTTTCTCTCATTTGCAGAAGCTGCCTTCTTTCTTACTCCAATGTCAACCCCCCACCTTTCCCTAAATGATCAGAGAAATTCTGGTATATGCAGAGTCAGGGTGCTTGTGGGTGTTTCTAGCTGATGAGGAGGATGATTCCAAGTGTTTCCCACCTCATCAGGCAAGTGCTTCAAGTGCTTTTGCAAATGCAGCGTTTAATTTTCCATGCCTGGACTTTCTTAAGTTACTTCTCGATACACCAAAGGGGGCTGAGGGAAGCCAAAATCTCACGTTTTAAAAACCACTAATCCTGCCGCAGAACTGAGTAGAAGCTTGAAATAAAGATTATGAGAAAAAATGGAGAAGGAATTTCCTTGTCCTCAGACATCAAACCTCTCAGTGAGCGAGAGCCAGTCAGCAACAGCATGATGATGACAACACTGTCATGAAGCAAGACACCCCAATGAGTAGCTTTCACTCCAGTTCCCAAGAGCAAAATGATTGTTAAAATGCAACCCAGTCTGATTCCCAAAAGCAAAAAAAAAAAGTCATTTCAATTTAAATATTTTACTGAAGCATGAAATAGCCAAGATATTATTGCTATTTTAAGACAAACACTGTAATCTGACTATTAGCATAGTGTGTCAACTCTATCGTATGCATACACACCCAGAAAGCCACTCCCCCCCACACTCAGAGACTTCTCTTTCTCACTGAGGCATCCTTACTTTTCTCTCTGGGGTGGGCTCCAGAGACTGTCAGAAAGAAAATGAGAATTTTGTTTTGTTTTTTAAAGACATAGCCTCCTTCTCCATTCATTGCCTCAAGTGGTTTAATAAAGTGGTTTTGGGAAACTGTTAATAGAACAAAGGGTGGTAGTCAGTCAGACTTTGCAAACATTTTGGCTCAAAATCTAATGCAAACCATATTTCAGCTAAGAAATTGTCTTTATGTGGCAGGACATAAAATAGATCTGTTCTTTTCCATGTAAGTACCTGACTTTCAATGGAAGAGAAAAGTACCTGCTTTCATAGCTGCTGCCCAGGTGGACTTTAAAATAATCAAGTATTTTCGTGTGTGTGTGTGTGTGTGTGTGTGTGTGTGTGTGTGTGTGTGTGTGTGTGTTTTCCCAGCTTTACTGTCAAACTTCATGAGAACACCTTCCCTTTTTGTTTCTGGAATTTACTTGTCTCCAGTCTATTTCTTGACCTGAAAAACCTTTCTGGCCTAAACACAGTCTTTAGAATGAAGAAATGCATAGGAATTGTCAGATCTAATAAGCCAGCTGATTTCATCTGTCCATACAGTCAAGGAAAGCCATGACTTCTGAAATGGGACCCCCCCACCAACATGGACTCACTGGGCATTCTTGGTGGTTGCTTGCAGTTTTTAGTCTTGCTGACAGCTTGTTTTACTTTAGTTTAGTAGCATGGCCTGTGCTACTTCTCTGGCAAGAAATCGCGCATATTCAGAGAAAGCCTCTTGTACTGAACTGAAATGAGCTAAACTGCATCATGCCCCAGGGGCATTGAAACAAAGAAGAAAAATGCAAAATGACACCATTAACCTGCTGGTTCTAAGACC